CCCAGCAGCCACCCGGCGACCCCGCGGGCATCGTGTAAATGCAGCACGGATGCACACGATTGGGCAACCGGCGCAGCGGACAAATACCCCAGTGACTGGCGAGTGAATTCCAAGAACAGTGATCCTGGGTTGTCCAGTAATCCTGTGGTTCTGCTGTGACTCCTCGGTTCCATCTGACGCGCTTCCAGAATCTGCAGAAGCCAGAAGCTTCCCTCCCGCCTGCCCTCGTACCTTTCGGCTCCTCGCGGCTCGGGGACTCTCGGTCGTGGAGGGCACGGAGGGTTCGCTCGGAACCTTCTTCTCTCGTGATCGCGTTCCTAACTTGGTGTAAATGGAACCTAGTTCAGCGGATCTCTCGGCATCGCTGTACTGCGTTGCGTGTTTCGTCTGCTGTTTGAGTAATAGAAGCCGGGTATGCTTATCAGTGCGATGCACATGATGCGAGGCATTTCGAGAATACCGCGGAGAGTGCCATAGAGTAGACTCCAACACTTGATACACACTGGGAGTCATGTCACCCAGCAGTTGGTACGGCGGGATGCAGGGGCGTTTTGGAATGAATAGCCCGGATTCCAGCACCTTTCAGGTCCGGTGCCCTTAAAGTCTGTCGCTGAGGTCCCACCATTCCTCATCTCTTACACCTGCCTCACCCTCTCAACGGTGGTCAATTTTGCACTGGATGCTGTCGCGTGTGTTCAGTGCCTGTGCTACTCGTACCTGCCTCTTCTGAGTCATCGTCCGCGGCTATCACAGCAAGGACTTTGTCGAACAAATTTGATTGAGAGACTCGTCAATACTTAGCAATGCATGGCAGTGGGACTCCTTCAGGAGAGGTGATGCGCATCCGTAAGAACGCACGGCCAGCAGCCTGTTAGCGTATGGCGGAACATTGGTTGCGGGGCTGCAACTGGCCTGAGCTAGGCTATCGCAACTGAGTAATTCTGAGGGTATAACTGATGGCGCTAGGGGAGAGTAGGAGCCCTTCGGGTGCGCCTACCTGGCTAGTCAATGTAGGGCGGGGTAAGGGGACAGGGGGTTTCGATAGCAGGACCCAATGCCTGTCACCTAGGAATGCACGATTGTTCTTGAAGAACGAATGGACATTGGGGTTAGAAGTGGGGAGGCCACATCAGTAGTAGACGAAGAAGGAATCTCACCCACATTGTGCGTGCAGGTTGAGCACCATCAGGGAGGGATGAATATGATCAGGACGCAGAGATGGAAGAAGAGGGGGTAAGGGTCGCCTGCTACTGATGCATCGGAACCAAACACTGGGACGAGGCAAATAGAGCTGGGACTGCCTGACAAAATACGGCCCGAACCATGAGTTCCTTCGAGGTCCTGAGTGTCCTGACTGGGCCAGAACCCTGCCCTGTCGTCGTCTACGTACAGTCCCCCGGTCTGCAGCCCTGCCGAACCCAGAAACTGCGGCAAGAACAGCCAGCCTGCTGTCAGAGCGGCCAGAAGCGGAACAACGAAGCACTCGCCAGGAGAGGACGGGACAAGCACAATGGATGCAATGACATTATGGGGCCGATGGGGCAACGTTGAGTCCCACTGGTCCGCCGGCCCACTCTACTCCCCCGATCTTTGATGCCCAACGCACCTGCGGGTAGAAGCAGGCGAAATTGCATCAAGCACAGGATACCTTCTTGACTTCTACCGGCCGGTCACCAGTGCATACGCCGGGACCGTGAAGCGGGGGAACATGGGAACGGCTGTGAGGCAGTGATGCAGCAGCACTCCAGCTGAAAAGGGGTGCGGTGGGTTGGTGACGGGTGTGGCTGGAATCAGGTGATGCGACGCCATGCGGGTCCACAGCCTTAGCCTCGACTCCAGACGGAGCAGAACCAGGCTAGTGGTCCAGGTCTGACGGCTGTGACGACGCCAGGCAGGAGTGCAGGATTGCAGGATCGCAGGTATTGCAGGTTGGGGTGCCAGGCGAGCGACGCCAGACCTGCCGAAGCTGGGCAAGTTGCTGCGCAGCTGACGAATGAATGGATCACAGGACGGCCGAACATGCATGGGATGGTGCTCTATGGGTCTTGTGATACGAGTGTTGGAATCAGAAGCTTGGGGGTTGTCGTATGGACCTGTTTCCTGGGATGGGCTTGCGAGCTGAGGGTCTACTCGGAGTTCTGGGGAGTGGAGCACGACGATGTGTCTAGAACGCAACGATGCTTAATGAGGTTACAGTTGAGCGATGACAAGGAGGCGCACGCAACGAGGCATGAGGCATGCGACCGAGATGCACGCAGGCTCTAGACCGGCTGTTGGCTGGACATGGCTGGCATGGCTGGAGGCACACCTAAACTCATGGCGACATGGCTTGAGGGCTTGGATATTGCTGGAACGCTGACCCCGGCTGGGCCGCAGGCTGGCCCGAAAGTCAAAACGCAGTAGGCTGTGACTGGAGCGGTTGCGTGTTGCGCGTCGCAAGTTGGCACAGGCTGGCCAGCAGAACCCCGTGACCTGGATTGGTGCGCCAGAGGAAGAGGGGGAGTATGGTATCTTGGTCGAGCTCGAATGGTAGCGCGGGTGGGTGAATGACGGAACAGGGGGGGATGTGGGGGCCGGAGGGAGAGAGACGATTCGACGGTGATCAGGAGTCGCGAACAAGGGTCCAGGTTCAAGGGTCGGGGACCTCCACCCAACTCTCCAAGACATGCAGCATGCCCCTACCCTGGTTCCTGGGACGCTCAGGGCTTCCCATGACAGGGCCGACAGGGTCCAGAGGTATAAGGGCATCACACATATTAAATAGACATTGAGTTGCTACCTAAGGTCCTGGTCCGCTGTCCGTTTCCTCGTCGTCTCCGGTCTCCATAGGTCTCACCCAGCCTGCCCGCGTCGCGTTTCCGCTTCCAGAATCCCAGAGCCGAATGCAATATGAGATATGCAAATGCATCCCTATTCAGGTCACGGTCTATCTGGGCCCGATTCAGATCGGGTCGACGAGATCGCGCATCCCAGATTGCATGCATCGTTCGCCGGCGAATTCAGCGACGGGGCGGAACGCATTGTGATTGTGCAGCGGCTCGGCGGAGCGAGGTGCACGCAGTGCAGCGGGCCGGAGAGAAATGAGGGAAGGCGGCGGACGGCAAGGGGACGACGACACTTGAGCCCAGACGCTGCAGGCCGTCAGCAGGAATGGGACCCAGGCAGGCGGACAGGCAGTCAGGCAGTCAGGTAGTCAGGTTTCGCCATGGAAGCCACCTGCTCCTGTCATCCTGGGCCTGACCGGTCCTGGGTCCTGGCTCCTGGCTCCTGGCTCCTGGCACGCTCCTGCATCTGCACCCACTCCTCAAACAATCGCCATGCATCTCTCCGTCTGATCCGTCCAGCCCAGCAACTTACTAAATGATCTGACTTTTCCATCTTTCGAACGTCCTCCCACCTCCATTCCCCTCCGGCATTCCCCCTCCCGCAAGCACCAGCTGCTCCAACTCGCACGCCAGTGACCACCGGTCCCCTCCGATAGCACAACGCAAAACGCACAGCCGGCACCGACTACCGTAGTCTCGTCGCTAGCTTGACGCGTTCCATCCCTCGCTCGAGCAGTCTCGTCGTCCCGATCTTTGGTTCGGTCGCTATCTCGCTCGCTACTTGTGCTACCTCGGCCTTGACTAGCAACCTCATAACCCGGCTATAGCTACATTTGTCGGGCGCATTTGGCGTTCTGCACCCTCCGGGCTGACCCTACCGCCCACTGCCCTCTGGCTCGTCCCCTCCCACCCCTCAGCTCCTTAGCGCTCTCTCTGCGCTTTATCAGCCCCACCCTAGGATATTCGACTGTCCCGACACTAGATTTGTCGCCGGCGCTGCTCTCCTCTTTACGTGGACGCTAACAGAGATTTCATTCCTTCGTCGATCAACTTCAATCGAGGGCCGTATAACAATCCCACACAGTGCGTATCATATATCTCTTTGTCCTTGCACCCGAACCATCTCTTTCCCACCCCATCTTCTCTTTGTGTCTCTATCTCTTTGGCAGTCAGACTTTGGCAACGCCTGTTGCAACTTGATTGCCGTAGTTCATCACATCTCTTAACCTCCACCACCCCCTCCACCCCACCCACCCACCTCTGTTCACCCGTCCACCCACACGTACACACACCCCTTCCTTGCACACGCATACACACGCGCCTTCCGTCTCCTTGACATTGTTCTCCTCCGTTGACACATCAACCTCGGCTCCTCTTCAAACGCCATCTGCCCACGTCCTCTGCTACGCAATACACGCTTCGTGCGTCCCCGCCGTGTCCTGGTCACCATCGACAGACGCCACGCGCCCCTCCAGAATCTGATTTCGACGTACTCGCATCACACAGGTTCCCAGACACAATCACCTCACAGGGCGACGCCGTGTTTGGAATCTGATATCAAGAGGTCGAACAATTACGCCGCGCCCTTGGCCATCTCGTCCACCCGTCACCTAGCTCGGAGCACTCTCCCACCGACCACTGTCCGTGCCGGAGTGTTCTTGTTGCGTGCCCCTCGTTCTCCCTCGCCTCTAGCCTCGGAGTCACTGCAATACCCCACATTGCCCAGCTTTCTCGCCTAATCAGCTCTCTCCCCACTGAAGTCGCAGCGCAATCCAGGACACATAAGCGGTGCAGATTACTACGCCGTTTCCTCATCGTCGTACCCACCTCCTCGTGACTTTGTGTCAGCCGCAGTCGCCAAACCCCGGTTGATCGTGGCCACTAGCCCGAGTTCTCTGGTCCCGCCGAGCCAGAGCAGCAAGAAGGAAGGCGAAGCACAGCGACTGTGTGCAACTCCTCTAGGCGTGCGTCCACTCGCTTATCCCTCGGAAGGAGTTGTACATAAGAGCTAGAGACAAGGAAGGTTGAATCCCATCAATCCACCCATCCTCCTACCAAGCCACCACAAGTCGTCACTTTGACTTGCACCCCTCTCTTTCACATCTTCTCTCATCCCTACCATCACTTTCTTGAACCACCCCCGTGCTTAAGTCGCCCAAGGTGTCTTACACAATCATGTATCACCACCCGGGCACGACCGGCTCGTCGTCGTCCACCACCGACCCCCGCCTTGCTGCTTCAGCGGCGGCGGGTGGTGCGCCATCAGCGACCTCGCAGCCGCCCGTCGACCCCCCTCCCTACTCGACATCATCGTCATCATCGACTGATCCACGCTCCTCGTCATCGTATCCTGCCCACTTGGTATCGATGCCCCCTCCACTCGCGTTCTCTGGCGCACCGGCTGCGCCTGGTCACGGAAGTGGGGGACCTCCACCCCCATCACTCACTCAGCTTAGCTCGAGCACCACAGGCAGTGCTGGAGCGACGCCCTCTGGTGCTGCTTCTTGGTACAGTGGAGGTGGAGGTGGAAGCAGCGACATCCGCCTGCCTTCTCTCACCGCTCAAGTTGCTCCATTGGACAATGCATCAACCACCCCCTCGATGGCTCAACAATCTCAAGTCATCACCATCTACGAGTTCACGCCCCAGTCGGGGGTTGAGGGCACTGCGATCTCCATCAACTGCAACCTCACTTTCCCCTCTGATCACGGCCGGGGCGATTCGGGTGGCAACAAAATTCGCTTGTACTTCGGCAACCAGATCGTTGACACGACTCTGAGACCACCAACAAACAACTCTGAAGCTTATCTGATCATCGCGAACGTTCCCCCCCTTCACAACTGCGGCATGACCGGCTCGAACGCCTGGAGCGTTCCAGTGACGCTGCATGCTGTCAACGACCGGGGAATTCTCGAGATCCAGAGCCTCGGCGAGTTTGGATACATTTCCGAAGGTGAGTTTGTCCAGCATGGCCCGTGCATGGTCGACGCGATTTTTCCTTGGCTTCCTATTGCTAATTGTCATAGCGAACGCATTCAAGAAGGCACGCAAACTTAGCTCGAAAGCAGGGTCCCCTGAGCGCAGGCTCTCGTCCGCTGGTTATCGGCGCCGCAGGCGTGAAGACGAAGGCGGGTACAACCCTCCGACTATACCGGCAGGAACAGCGGGCGCGTTCGTCTACGACTCGCCGCCTCCCCCTCAGTCGCAGTCGCTGGGTCTGGTACGCACTACCCAGATTACACAGGTGAACTCGCCAAACCCTGGCCAGCCCAATCCGTTCATCATGCGCTCCAAGGCTCAACTCCAGATCGAGGGCGATCTCATGACGATGAAGAGCAACTGGTGAGTGGACATCACATTTTGTCACATGCAACTCCGCAACCGTGCGCGCGTGGGTTTACGCCAGGGTGGGGAGCAAAGGCGTTTTGCACCCTAAAAACGCCACGGCGAACGCACAGCTCCTGGTGGCGTGAGAGGAAAAAGGAATATGCTGACATTCCTCAGGTCGCCCGAGATGTGGGCCAGCCGCCGTTGCTTGGTTGCTTTCACGCGCCGACAGGTTGGCGCTACTGTTTATGCCAGCTTCAAGGCCGTCGAGGAGCGCCTCCCAACATGATCGTGATCTCGTGTCTCTACCACGAGGCGCGCCAGGAGTGCTTCTTCACTTCAGTCGATGTCATTTATCTGCTGGAGTGCCTGATGGCGACGCGCTACACGACCGAGGAGAAGAACCGAATCCGCCGCAATCTCGAGAGCTTCAAGCCGACTACGCTCCAGAAGAACGAGGGGCAATGGCAGGAGTTCTACGCTCACATCATGAACTACCCGAACCCCAAGCCTCGGAACATTGACAAGGGACTGAAGGTCTTCCCATGGATCCATCTCGAGCCCGCCTTGAAAAAGATCTTCTCCAACTATGTAAGTGGCTTGCTCGACACGGAGTGCAGAGTTGGACCTGGCAGCTGACATGCGCAGTCCGCGTACACCAACATGCCTTTCACATTCGACAGTCCCGGGCCCAATCACGGCTCTGGCCCGATGGGGTACCCTCAGCACGCACACGTATCGCCTGACCCCTTGGGCTTCTCGGATGAGCGGGCTTCTGCGCCGTACGGTGCTCCCCACGGCGCTGACGCAATGAGCCCCTACGTTTCTCATCTCCCCAGTTACCATCGCCCGGCCTTATCTGGAGGCTCAGCAAGTGGAGTTCCGGCGGGCAGCTCGAGTTCTGGAGAGGCATCTGCCCCTCCGACTGCCTACGGTGGGGAGCCGCCCATGCCTGGATACGTCAACATGCCGCCCCCGCCTGGCCCTTACGGACGCGATTATGTGTCCTATGCGCCCCCCTCGAGTCTCAGCATGACACCGCACCCGGGTGGGTACTATGATCCGCCTCCGCCCCACATGCAGTATCCCCACGTCGGTCGGGGCTCGAGCTCGTCGGACTTTCGCGTTGTTGGTTACCACAATGAAGCCGGGAACCCAAGCCGCCCGCACTCGAACCCCTCCCCTCACATGCCTCACAACGCATACCCGCCTCAGCAGCAGCAGCCTCCGCCTCCTCCTCCGCCCCAGTCTTGATGACCGGCCCTTGTTACGATCAATCTGACGGATTATTTGGGTTCTCATTTTTTCTTTCTTACATCTTTCGGAAATCGAGCTTGTGATACAAGCCCGGACAAGCAAGAGCTTCGACATCACCTTGATCACTGCCGGTGTGGCTTACACTGCCCACCGTGCATCATGCCATGTTAAAAGGGATTACAGATCCGACCAAGCCATGCAAAGCCAGCCCAGCAACGTTCATATCTCTTTCTCTCGTTTCCCATTACATTTACATTCTACACACTTATTCAGTTACATTTTTGTAGCCTTACTGTAGCCATAGCCCCTGTGTATGCATGGAGCCGCCATTTGCACTCCAAGTGGGGCAAACCTTTGATAAGACTGCAATGTTGCACGGTGCCACACAAGATGCCGTTATGCTTAGCCAAAAGGTAACTGTGACGCGATGGGGCCCTTAGACCCCCGAGTCAGCCTGGGCGGGTTAGCTTAGCGTGAATATCGAACTCGGAGCCAGACCCAAAAGAAGTAAAAACGTCAGCAGAGCTTAACTATTGGACCAGTGCGCTTAGATGAGGGCCAGGGCAGGACTGATATGGCTGGACAAGGAACAGACATTCACCGGAATGTGGTGTGTCATGGTGCATCGAGCCGTTCTGAGAGGCTGCCGCAACACGGGTTGAAGTTATGTGATCAGGGTTCGTCGTTGCGTTGTGGCTTGGGAGCAAGGCACAAGTGAGTAGCCTACAATGTGTATGACGTGGTGATGGCGTCGGCGGTCGCTCGCCCGTATGCTTAGTCGGCGAGTGCCCGAGTGCCCGTGTGCCAAAGTGACCGAGTGCCTGTCCGACGAACGAATGGGCCGAGCTATTCCAGAAGAGACGAACGCCGCGATCTGGTGAGACGTGGGGTGAACCTGCTCGCAGCCCAAGTAGTGTGCGCAGCACACGAGGCATGGGGCACGATCCGGCGCCTCACGGCGCAACCCCGTCATGCTTGTCAACGCACCTCTCGTACCTCTCGCCACCCCTTCACTCGGCCTTCGGACCCGTGAAAGGCATTTGTCACATCCCCTTGCTCAGCGGCGCAGCCCCGCGTTCCTGGGAATTTGGACTACGGTCGCACGGGTCGCGCGGTTCCTCTCGATCCTCTCGCTAGAACCTCGCCTGAAGTGTCGCCTGAGTTGCTAATTTATTGTGGCATCGCAAAACGCAAGGCGTCCTCGGCGTTTCGCCTGCGACGCCTGGGCGGTGGTGTGGTGGTACCACCTGCGTGTCTGTGGGACGGCGCGGTTGCCTATCGGTGGCCCGGTAGACGCCCCGGGGACGCCCATCGATGCAGCCAGTGTACGCCATGGGACGCCGCCACTGCGAAGCTTGCTGTAGTGCGCTAAGTAGAGTTTAAGCTCCGGGGTTCAGAGCGCCCAGCAGTGTCCCCACGACTGGGACGGCCCTGCAGACTGCCTGCAAGATGGTGAGTGTCGTGCTATGCGGCGTGCGCGGCGTGGGTGGCTCCAGCATGCGCTGTGCCTTGGCATACAGGCTAAGGCCAGGCAGCGGTATGGCTCTGGCGGGCCATGGCGGGATAAGGCTGCGGCGTGCGTGCGTGCGTGCGTGTGCATGGCGGAGGCGAGACGCAGATCCCACGCGTGTGCGCCGGCCCACGGGCCACAGTGCGGTCCCGGCCCGCAGTACATGGCCATGGATCGGAGCGAAGCTCAAGCGAATAGAGGGCCAGGCAAGCAAGCAGGCAAGCTCCGCCATCTCCGGCTTTCCAGTTCCGGAGTGTCTCTCGGTGCGCCGTGATTTTGTGCTCTTCTGTGCCGGCCTTGGGCAGGCCGGGCAGGGGTAATGGCGTCCGATCAGTTGGTTCCAGCAAACAACCTGTGGAATGCGACCCGTAGAGTTGTGCTTGGCGATTGGCGATTCTCAGCTCCCCCTTGGCGTTGGGATTGCTGCATTCATTGCTCTTTGCTCATTGCACTTTCACATTGACCTCGTTTGGGTTTGTGGACGTTGTTCGGCGAAAATGCCTCACATTTGCAGCTCAGGACGGCGACGAGGCGTCAGGACACAAAGGTGCCATGGCGTTGTGCGGCCAGGCATGGAATTAGAGTTTCTGTCATGTGCACGGCACCCAGGGAGAGGAGAGGGCGCAGACAGAGGGCGCACACGCCCTCCACCCTGTTTGACGAATGACCCGGTGCTGACACTGTTCATCCCCATCTCTCCGATCTCCCCATTCCTCACCCCGCACCATCAGGAGATACTGACTGCGCTGACTGGCCAACTCACTGACGCTGACTGGGTGCTCTCGGGTGGGGAAGTCTGGGTGGGGGCGGTCATGCTTCAGCGTGCGAGAAGCATGAAGGACGGCCTGCTTCGCCGCCCCAGTCATGGCCAGTCAACGGCCGCCCGACAATTCTTGCTTCTTCAAATCTACTCACATCTGGCCAGTGGACATCACACTAATCTGGGTGGGCGGCGAAAAGTTGCGAGAAGAGCACTCACTGTGCGACAGCGAGCCTAGCGGGGGTTTCACGGGACCACTGACGAGAAGCTGACGTCCGTGCTTTTCCTGGCGCTCATTATCTCGTGTCTCGTTTTGGCACGCTGGCGATGGCGCCGGCGGTGCGATTTCGAACGAGATCCGGATACGGTCACGCCATCGCTCCTGGCTCGCCGTCAGCGATGTTGTCCTGCAAACAAACAATCTTGGTGCTCGGGCGTCCGCTAGCCCCAGACAAACCTCCGCACGGTTAGTAGCCGTTCTCGCTCCCGTCTGCGTAGCCGCCAAGGGGCGAGTTTGTCAGCTGCTCGAGACAACAACGTGCGCAGCGGGCGTATCTGCATCGCAAAAGAGGGTCCGGTCTGACTGTCGATGAACGCAGCCGGTGCGCACACAGCTTTGGACAAGAAAAGGCCCGATCGCAAGCGGACCGCTGGCGGCTCGCGGACCCCGGCTCGCCACTTGCCCGACAAGCATGCAGGCAGGTGATCGAGTGCGCCAAGGCAGAGAGGCGGACGACTAAGTCTACCAGCCGGTGTCTGCGGAGCATTGTCGCACCTGCAACGCGCAGCAGGCCGCCAGGCCGTCAGCGAACAACAAGGCTCCATGCTCGCCGCACAGATCTTGTTTCAGAAGAACAATGATCCCCACCGCGGACAACAGCTTGTCTCAGGCGGGATTGTCGGCCCCTCGGTCCGCACGCAACTGCGCACGGAGCATGCGGCTACGAGCGAGGGTTGAGATAAGCGTTAGTCAACTCAACCTGCAACTGACGATAGGCCACACTGAGGTGGTGGGGTCGTACGTTGCTTCTGGTCTGTGGGGTTGTGGGCGTAGGACTGCGACACAGCCGGCGCCCGACCGTTAGTGGGCGCGCTCGAGTCGACCACTGCGAAGAATTGCTTGCAACCATCGACTCGAGGTAAAGACCACATCCCGCCGGAACCCGCCGCCACGAGATCTGACCTTTGTGCTCATGCACGAGTTGCCCCAAGCGATCCGGGTCGTCTGACGGCCTGCTCATAGGAAGCGACGGAAGTAACTCGGATATTTAATGTCCCTTCGCCACATTCCGCGCTGGACTGTCGCCTCGTTTCACCCACAGTCGCCGGCGCACCGAGCGCCGTCTGCTGTTCTTTTGTTCTGAAACGTGCGCCCAGCGGCTACCTGATGAGCCTCGAGGCTGATGTTCCGAGGCGCGAAACGAGGCAGATCTCGCGTGCGGAGCAATTCGAGAGAAAATGTGCGATCGCGGCCTCTCACAAAGGACACATTCGGCCAACTTTCCGGATGGCTGGTTGCTGGATGTCGGATGCTGGAGTTCGCGTGCATGTCCGGCTTATCGGGCGCGGCCGGTCTTACGGCAGCGGAAGCAAATGACCCTGCGTCCGAAAAAGAAGTCACTCGCGTGCAGCCAGCCACAGTGGCCAACACGTGGTCGTTCCACTTGCTTCCCAGATTGAAGCTGTAAGATGCGCCTGCAGGATGGCTTTCGTAAGATGGCAATGCACAAACGTTAAAATGCATATCCAAGACATTCGCAGAACTCTGAATTTCGCCCGTCGGGTGGCCGGTGATAGGCGAGATTGTGTGCCGGATGTGCGCGCGATCGGCGCCCTCGGAGGCGGACCACAAGGCCTCTGAATGGAACTAACGCAACGTCATGAGGGCTTTCAAGATGCGCAGCTTAATGGGATATGGGCAATTCAGTCGACGTTACCACCAGCACGGTAGCGGCGGGCCTTGTGTCCTCGGGCCCGCTAGCGCTTCTCCACGAACGCACTGGCATGCGGGCATTGAATGGAGCGGACTGTCTGCAACGTGCATCCGGACTCTTAGTCAGACAGTCCGAGGGTCGAGGCGTGCAGAAGAACTCCCGTCGATCTCGGAGCCCGAATCCAGACTCTTTGCTGCGAAGAGCTTCAGCCTGTTGCAGAAGCAGTCAGCAGACCCAGACCTGCAGTTCCCGAGACACGCACGTATGCAATGAGTGTTTCGACGTAGGCTGCGTTATGCATCATGCACGCCGAAGCCGCTGTCTGCGGCAGGCATAAGAAGTCTTGGAAGGCTTGGAATCCGCGTGTGGGAAGATGGCTGGGGTGATCTACCCTGGTGTAACCGCACTATCTGGGTCGGTGCCTACCAGAAGCGGTAATTCCAGTGACAACTTCCCCTTAATCTTGAATGAACCACCTCATCACCGCGTCGGCGGCTTGCAACTAGCACCTAGCGGACCTGCATAGCATCGGCCTCAGCGCCGCTCCATCATTACCCTCCTCCAATCACTACCGAGCCTCCGAACCCATCTTTCTCTTCTTCTTTTCTCTTTCTCTATCTCTTGTACCAACTCCATCTCGACCTCATCTCGACAAACGCCGCCCGGTGCCGCGTCCCTCCGTGTAACCTCTAGTCCTCGAAACAGCAGCGCTGTACCTCCCATCAGGTGTGACATTACGGCTTGAAGCTCCCACCACCTAGGACCTTCCTCGTATCCAAAATGCTTCTCTGGTCTCTTCTCGCCGCGACCACCGCCTCTGCGGCTCCCGCTGCCGATGACTCTTATGGTGTCAGCTTCGCTGGTGCCCCCAGTGAGTTCCCATCCCCTTCCTGCGCGCCTGCGCCGTCACTGGCAGCAGATCGATGCGCCACTGGACTTGCCTTCCCCTCCACTCTACGACCGGGGAATGTCATACAACGCTCTGTGCGGCCTCCACCGGACCCGTACACGCAAATAGAGCAGCGCTGACAGTTCAGTCAATGACATCAACATCAGTGTCAGCAACGTCAAGCAGTGCGGCGACGCTGTCATTTCGTGGACTGGAACCAAGGTGAGTCTCCGCCGTCGCCATCATATCGCGAAGGGGAGGCGCAGTCCTGGGCGGAATTTGAACAACGCCCCCGTTTCAACCACCGTGCCTGGACATGTGCAAGTGATCTGCAACCGTCCGTCTGCGCTTGGACGTGCTCGAGCAACTCGTCCTCCATCCATTCGTGCATCGTGGAGCTCGTTCAACGCAGTCTCTCAAACCGCGACGACGACGCATAGCGCCGCGTCAGTGCACTGCGGGTGATTTGCGTTTGAGGTGCTCACACTTCCGACTGTTTGACCGTGATACATCGTTTAGAATTCAACGTGAAACATAACAACTGACAAGTGACAGGGCCCTGTTGAGGTAACGATTGGTACTGGCGGCTACTATGTCGGCTCTACCACCCTCGACACCCTCAGCGGTCTCGAGGGCGACTCGACTACCTGGAAGGTCAACGTTCCCGCGGGCTCGGACACTCTGATCTTCCAGGTTAAGGACTCGACCGGCGGCTTCAAGTACCAGCAGGGCATCGCTGTAGAGAAGTCTAGCGACTCGAGCTGCCTCGACGGCGGATCGTCATCGGCCTCGTCGGCTTCGCCGGCCCCGTCCTCCTCGGAGTCGGAGCAGATCCCCGAGCCTTCGACCTCATCGGCGACCTCGACTTCCGACTCGGATTCGGCCTCGTCGTCGACCTCCGACTCTGAGACATCGCCGTCCGCCGCTCCTTCCTCGGCCTCCCCGACCCCTTCGACTTCCGATGAGGCGACTCCTTCGTCCGAGTCTTCGAACCCCGAGCCGGTCTCGTCGTCGGGCGCCGGTGCGTCTCCTACTTCGTCGGATGAGGTTTCTAGCAGCACCGCTAGCCCTGGTGGCAGCGATGGCAGTAGCCCCAGCCCTGGCGGCATCAGCAGCAACGGCCCCAGTGGTACTAGCAGCGTCAGCCCTAGCGACGGTGGCAACGTCGGCAGTGCTACTGAGACCTCATCCAGCCAACCTTCGAGCGATGTCAGCACCAACGGTGCTGGCTCCGCTTCGAGCGCGGCTGCCGTCAGTGTGTCATCTAAGTCTAACCACGCAGCCCACACCTCGCAGCCCATCATCGAGAACACGTCCGCCCCTCCGGCGGCTGGTCAGGGTCCCAAGACCCAGACGACTGTCGTTCCGGCTCCCGCTCCCGTCGTCCCCGGTAGTGGTTCGAAGGACTCTGCGGACGCCGCTAAGCCAAGCACTGCCCCCGCTCCCGTCGTCACTGAGACGGTCAGCAGCGCTGTCCAGAACGCGGCCCAGCCCGCACAGTCTTCGGCTCCCTCTTCCTCTTCGACGACGTCTCGCTCGGTCGTCCTCGTCACGTCGTACCGTACCAACTCGTCCCAGAGCCCTGCTATCGAGACCGCGACGGTCGTTGGCGACTCGAAGGGAGCCAGCCTTTCGCTCCAGGACAGCGGAGCTTCGCGCGCTACAGTCGGCGTCTTCGCTACCGTGCTCGCTGTGCTGGCCGCCGCGATCTTCTAAAGTCTGAAAGACTTCTTTTATAGTAATCTGTAGTAATCCGCGATGCATAGAATACGAGCCAAGGAGGCGATGAGCCGGATCGACAAAGGTCACCCGATCATGTGAGACTGGAACGGTGAGTACTAGTACTCCGCGTCCCAAAGACATGCGTGCGCAACTGTAACGACCCATGACGAGTTCGTGAGCTAGTTCGAATCTAGTAAAGCAGCAAGAACGGCAACTATAGTCGTGGTCCCATCGCACGTTACAGGATCGCCGGCCGGTTAGCATCCAAAGGACGAGGCACTAAGGTTTTGATCTCTCGATCGCGGCCCTTTCCAGTTGGAACAGTTCCAGCGGCTGTTGGTTGATTCCTAGAAGTTCCTCATTCATTGACCTCCGGGACAGGAATGAACGAGGATCTTCAGGCGACCAGGACAGTCATGAGCATGGAAGATCTCAGCGCCAGCCATCGTGAACAGAGATTGCACTCGTACTGTTGTGAGCTCTCGGGGTTGTTATCAGTCGTTAGCCCTCTGCTGTGCACTGTAAGGATGATACATGTGTATACTACATTTGGGCGATGGTCGGGCTGTATGCATGATGCACGCGCTGCGTGCTACTGGTTTGCTCGGATGCGTGGCTTGAGATGTGGCTTGTAGTGTGATCTGCGCTCTTTGCGCGCTCCTCCTTCTGCGTCTTCACCGTCGGCTCCGAGATCCATTCGTCATTTCGTACCCCGTCGTCGGAGACGTGGTGACTCGGGTACAATGAATATTGTTCGCTTCGCTGTTCGTGGCGTCGGCGATGCGAGACAGCTCCTGAGACTCCTCCGGACTCATGACTCATAGACTCACGGGGCCAGGCGACTGACGTCAGCCGTCTTGGCCTTGCCCTCGAGAATCATTTCGGAGAGGACGAGACCGGTGCCGGGTCCTTGCGTGATGCCCCAGCAGCTGAGGCCGCCGCCGACATACACGCCCTCGACACCCTTGACCTTGCCGATGATGGGGCGGCCGCGGTCGCTTATGGGAAGGTAGCAGGCGCACTCGGTCTCGACGACGCCGTCGCGGAGAGTCGGCGAGATGGCGTTGGCTTGTGAGCGCAACTTGTCCAGCTGCGCTTGCTCTGGCTCGACCTGGTGTGAGGACGCGGGCAGAGGCGTCTCTGTTGACCCGCCGCAGATCACCGCCGTCCCGTCCGCGCGCGGGTAGACTTCAGGTTCGGACCGCGAGCCGTCTTGCAGCGTCAAGTCGATGAAGAGACAGTGCGGTGTTGTCGGCTCGCGGGTGCGGATGATCATCGTGTGCGCCTTCTGTCCGCCGCAGGCGAGGCTGCGCGCCGACGAGGAAGGCAACAGTTCGCGCGCCAGGCGGCCGAGCCAGGGCCCAGGAGAGAGAACGACAGTGTCGCACTCCAATATCCGGTCCTCGCCCTTGCCTTCCTGCGCCGAGATGAGGATAGAGGATGGCGAGCCGCCTTGCAAGCTGAGCGCAATCACAGTTCCGAGTACGAGGGAACAGTTTGGCTCGCGCAGGAAGCGCTCAGCGAGGAAGCGGACGAGCGCACGTGGTTGCACTTGCGCTGTCGTCTGCTTGGATCCGAGAACCTTGACGGCGTGCAGGTGCTCGGCGGGGAGCCAGGGAACGGATGAGCGGACGGCCTTCGACGGCTTCTCCTCCGCGTCGATTGTGACGGACTACACGTCAGTCACACTTCCGAGCTGATGCGGACGGCTATTCCTCCGACAGGTAGCAGAACGGGTGCGGGGAAGACGCAGTCTGTTTACGTCCCAGGTCCAACTCACCAGCGTGTCGACGGCACGGTATCCCCACTGCTTCGATCCGTTGAACTGCTCCGCGAGCTTGCGGTGCAGATCGAAGCTCATGGCAGACAAGCCTGGATGCGTCAGCGGTTTGATCCGGTTTAGAGTTTCTGAACTTTCCACGGTCGTGGGGAGTGATGTGAGAGGTCCATGGCCACAGGGTGGAGTACGACGATCTCTGTGGTCGGATTAATCCGTTCCATTTGATTCAGGCAGGCCACATGTGACTTATCAAGCAAGCCAGCGCTAGGATTCATGGGGGCGATGACGATCGACGGTGACGATGGGTCGAGGAAGGAAGACTCACTGGCAGTCTCTGACGGGTGCCAGTCTCTGGCGAGGAACCCTCCTGCATTGCCGGACGCAGCACACGCTACAGCGTTCGCTTCGACCAAAGTGATGGTCGATCCTTTCGGGCGATGGGGACTGATGGCGAGGAAGTATGCCGTGCAGACTCCTACGATGCCGCCGCCGACGACAACGATATTGCCGGGATTGCGAGCCTTCACGTCCTTGCCCATTTCAGCTGCTCTGAGGGCTTGTCTAGTCAGTCTAGTAGCTGTGCGTTGAATGGTGAGGGGTAGACAAAGACGTAGCGAAGGTCGAGGTGCCCAAAAGTCTGGAAGTGGAGGGTGGAGGTGGGGGTGGGGTCAAAAGTTGCTGGAGGTGCTCTGGTGCCGACAGGGTAGCCCTCCGCTGCTGTTGAGAAGGAAGCAGGAGCGATTCCTGACCGAGAAAGAGATCGAAAAGGGCGGAAGATGTATGTGGAAGACTTTGACGAGGTCGATGGCAGATGGAGCAATTCGGGGAACACCTATCAAAGTTTGCCTGACAACAAACGCAAGTAGTGTCCGGAATTCGAGGGCCGTCACTTGTAGGAACTCTGTTTACTTCAGACCAGTCAACGGGTCCATAACTACCCAGGGTGCTGCTGCACCGTGCGGCGCCCGGCGAGCATGTCGCTGCGCTGTAGGCTTCCTAAAGGATCTTCGGCACTCGCCAAGGAAGGCGCATTGCTCGTCCGCGACCGCCTGCGCCTGCTCTTACTTCATCACCGCGTGTCATAACATTCCGTAAGCTGAGCAACAGACCCTGTGCCACCACCCGACGAATCCAATGAAAAGCCGCAGCTCATTGCTCATGCACCATCCTTGTATGTTGGTCGACTCAAAGCGATCCCGACGACTCTCAATGACACAAGTGGATTGCTGAATAGGAGGCTCCAATAAAGCTTGATGTCCAGGCACAGCTAGACGGAAAACATATGACCTAGGCACGGCTGAAGTGCTGTGGGCGAAGATGGATCGTGACGTCAGAGGTGCAAGGCATGGTGGGGAGGGCGCGGAGGTCAAGAGTGCAAGTGTTGCAGACTCACCACCGTAGCACTGCTATTCCTGGGCTGCTCTTGTGTTGGAGTCAATGGATCGTGGTCACCGGGCCATGCTGGCCAGCTAGCCATGCGATCGGGAGGTCACCTGCTCACCTCCAGTCTGATCCATAGGCCAGCCTCGCTGAGCTGATCTGCTCGTCCCAAGCGCTCTTCCGCTTCCTCCAGGCATGCACAGTGTGTGTTTCCCCCGCGCAGCTGCGCCCCGCGGAACTGGCCATCCGTCGCACCCTGGCAACACATTGGCGCTCAGATGAAGGGCGCCCCGACTGTGCCGTTGCTATGCTCTGTGCCGCCCTCGCTCCAATCGCCCAGATCCAGACAACGAGACGCCCGTCCAGCGATCCTCGACCGTGTGCAGTCCTATAAACGAGCCAGCTGACCACTAGGTCAACATTCATTCTATCCATCCCACTTGACACTATCCACTTTGCTCTCCAAGCTTCAGTGCAACCATGTCCCTCAACCCTATCGACATCCCCATCACCGCTCAGGACCACGATGCCAGCGTTGACCGCTCCTCAGACCTGTCGCCGACCTCCCCCGTCGACCGCCAGCGTATGGACCGCCTGATGGCAGACCGCCCCGATCACAAAGACCTCCAGAGCAAGGGCATTCTCAAGGGTGAGCGAACACTCCAAATCATCGGCATTGGCCTGACAACTGTCGCCAAAGCAGCTCCTCCTCCCTGTGCTTCTGCGGCGTTGGCGGCCGGCGGCGACTGATGTCTACCCTTTGCATCTATTGTGTGCACGTGGGTCCTCTGCTGACGCTCCAGGCGCTCCCAACGATGCCTTGGCCGGGAAGAAGGCAGACCTCGCTCGCAAGATGACCGGCGTAAGTGTCAACGAACCAAACAAGCAATGACGGGACAACCTCAGCACACTGAGATCACCGTGCGCTGTGCCGAGGCCAAAACCACGTTTCGCGCGTCGCTGGGAGACCCTGCCGTCCCTGGAGAGGGCTTCTGGCGCCGACTCCGTGTGCCTCCTTGTTCTTTACAGCGCCGACGTCGCTCTTCGGACTCACTGACCAATGCAGGACCGTCTGGGCAACGATCTCGCGCACCGCCCCACGGCCGAGGAGCTCGTCAAGAAGGGCATTCTTCACCGTGAGTTTTGCTTCCCTATGGGCATATCGCTGACCATATAAGCTGAGCACTCTCCCACCAGCGAGCCCGCGTCCCTCTGAGCGGCCTGCGCATGCGACCGAAAACATGAGATCATCGACAACAACGTGCGCCTCCGCTCACTTCCTACCTGTTCCTAATCACTCCTCATGTGTTGTATAATATCGTTTAAGAGCTGCTGCTCCACGTGCCCATCTAGAGCGCAATCGCCGCTCAATCGGCATAAGAGCAAAGCGGAGAACGACGATCTGCATAGGCGGGCACTGGCGCTAGCTCTCTCCAAAGTCTGTTACATTGCGGTTAGCTCGCACCCCAGATGCGTATTAGCACCCCATAGGTGCAAGAGCAGGGATTAAGGAAAAGGGTGGCCGCGAAGTCCTAGTCTGCGGCCACCGTTGTAATTGGGAGGTGAATATGAAAAGTCTATTGGTTGATAACGTGATTTGACGATCCAGTAATGTGGTTTACGATTTTCGACGTGACGGTCGTGACACGGAGGGATCGTGTGCATGGTGTCAGGAGACGTCGTAAGCCCCGTCGACGTGACTGTTGCACCGCTGATCGCTGTGACTCGGCGCAGCTCCGCATGAGCGTTCAGCGGAGCGTTTGCGGTACGCGGAAGAGCACTCTTATCAAACGCACTGCACTTGCTTATTCGCTTATTACAAGCTAAACAGCGCTTCGTGGGTCATCTGACAGTCTTACGCTCAGCAGTCGCGGTGCGGTCACACCCTACAGTGCTGCGAATACCCCACAACTCGACCCCGCAACTCTATCAAGGCACCGTCCGAGCCGGCTTCAACCAACAGCACATTGCAACTCGCCAAGGCGCTGCTTCCGCCGTTCCTCTTCTCTGCATCACTCAACAGTCAACCGGCATACCTCTCGACAAGTTTGCGACATCCAGAGCTGGCTCTCGAATTCTGCGCCCCAGACCCTCCACCGTCCCCACCTGCTCGACCTCGAGGGTCAGTCACCACCCAGACCTTCCCTCCCCTCCACTCTCGACATCTTGGCCTGGAGCTTGAGCCGTCGACCGCGGATCTTTCGTCATGAGCGCATCAGCGCCTCCATCCAAACTGCCGTCGCCCGCTCGCACGCCCCGTGTATCCAGCAGTGATGAGCGACGCAAGAACAATCGCCCGCCGGGCATCATCAACATGGGCATGACATGTTTCTTGAACTCCACGTTCCAAGCTGTGAGTCAGGCGTTATCTGATAGTAGCGTCACCTCTCTCCGGTCTCAAGGCTGACTGTTCCAGTTGGCAGCGACGCCGGCCGTCATTGCGCTCCTTTCCCATAACCCCGCGATTCCCTTGCGTCCTGCGCCGCACTCCATTCTTCCCCCACCAGCTCAGGACTTCCGGCAAACGCCTTGTCTCGACCCGAACGTACTTGAACCTCCTCTCTACGGCCTTTTGCCAGTGACACGTGCTTTCGTCAATGCGCTCTACAAGAACTGGACGATGAAGGATAACGGCGGCGGCATTTCCGGGCCGGGCGCCAGCAGCACTGTTCACTCCATGAGTCTGCGGGAACTGCTCCGGGAGCTTGCCAAGAAGTACGACCAGTACCAAGAGTTTGACCAACAGGATGCCCACGAACTCCTCCGACATCTTCTGGACTCGATGGAGATGGAGGAAAAGGACGTGATTAAGAAGCAACCGGCCCCCGCAGTCCCTCCTACTGTGCCAGGGATGGGCGACCCATCCCTGTCGCCTTCAGTGCCCACCGAGCAGCTCATGGACGATGAGCAGTTGTTGCCCTTCGTCGACGCTCTCTTCGGTGGAGAACTAAGCAGTGTCGTCGTTTGCGAGACCTGCAAAGGCGTATCTCACACCTATGAAGGCTTCCTCGACATCTCACTTAGTATGCGTGGGCACGATGACCCTTCGCGGCAGCGTAAGCGCGATCGATTCAAGGGCTTGTTCAAGCCTCGCACGCCTAGCTCGAGGATCACCGCCGTTGACACTCTCTCGCTGTCGGAACCGGAAAACAGCGATGGAGATAGCAGTAGCGGTCGCCGTCTGCTAAGCTCCAAGATCAACGACGATGGGGGAGCCTCTGTGAAGCGGGCGTCGAGTGCTAAGACGGGAATAGGAAGGAAGACCTCCATCTTCCGACGTAAGGGTGATCGGTCTGTCAGTCGTGGAGCTCGCAGCGAGGCGGCTTCCGTGCCTTCGACCGCTGTGCCAACACCGATGCCTGGGTCCCCGGGAACCGAGACACCGACGTCGACCATGACGCCGACGTCAAACTCGCACGTCCCGCACCCGCAACAGTTAGCCCAGCAGCTGCACCATGTCCACCAGGCTACGCCGACCGCCGCACAGGCAGCTTACATCCAACGGATACTGTACGGACCGCCAGCACCGCCTGAATCGTCCGACCCGCTCGCGAAGCTGCGCGCCGCGCATGCCAATGGTCTCTCTCCGAATGGTCCGGCCGAGACTTTCGGTCTCATCGATGCGCTGCGCTCTTTTACCTCGGTCGAGGTGCTTGAAGGCGACAACGCTTTTGCGTGTCACAAGTGCTGGAAGATCAAGAATGGAAAGTACAACAAGAACAAGAAGAGGGACACTCCTGCCACGCCTGCGAGTGTAGCCAGCACCGTCAGCGTTGGCAGTGCAGCTAGCGCCGGTAGTGCCGGTAGCGGCGCAGGCGACTCGGGTCACCCCGCCGCACCTGAAGTTCCGACGCTCGCCTTGCCAACCGACGACGACCGGAGCCGGAGCCGCTTCCCTAAACCTTCCATCGCACGAACCGCGAGCCCGCTGCGCAATGTCATCGACCTCAGCAGTCCGCGAGAGGACATTGTGTTCTCTGAGGGTCACGCTGGTCACAATGCGAACGGACGGGACCAGCGAGCGGATTCCGACGGCGCGCAGAGCATGTCCAGCGTGTCTTCCTCGGAAGCGACCGAACACTCGGCGGCAACGACCGGGACCTCCCCGCAGAACGGTTTCCACAACGATGGTGATGATGAGAGCGACGGGCTCAGTGACTCAAGCGATGATGAGAGCGAGCCGGACGCCGACCCCGCACCGGAGCGCAAGGCCTTCTTCCGCCCGTCCATCAACCGCAGCAAGAGCTCCCGGCAGCACAAGCACTTCGTTCTCCGCAAGGCGTTCAAGAGGTATCTCATCTCAAGAGCGCCTGAGGTTCTCGTGTTCCACATCAAGAGGTTTAAGCAGACCTCGAATGGGGTCTACTCGACCTTCTCCAGCTTGAAAAAGTGAGTTCTTGAACATGGCCCATGGCAAGTGCGGTGCACGAGCGCGGTCGCGTCCGTCTGCATGGTAAAAGCCATGTACATCTGAGACGCTCCATCATCACCAGCTTGAGCTCTCCACGATTACGTCGGAAGACACTGACGCGTTGCAGGATGGACGACCCATGCTCGTTCCCATTGACGTTCGACCTGGCGCCCTTCATGGCTCCAAAGCGGAGAGACTTTAAGGTCGTGCAGACCCCTCAAGGTCCACGAGCACCGTACATGGACTGGGCAGCGCCGGACAACCCTCCTACGCCAGCGCCTCTGCCTTACAAGCTCTATGGTGAGTGCTCCTACACCCACGACCCACATCCATCCCCACCTCAGGCAACAAGCCCTGTCATGCGGCATGTCAGCGCACTGCACTATCCCAGTCTCCGACAACTGCCTTCCCTGCACCTTACCGCATCGTGCTCTGGCACCTACCATTCCGCGTACCTCCGCCGTGCCGGCCGGAGGTGCGGAGGTCGAGCGAAGTTTGACCCAACCCGCACAAGGGCTGCTCGAGGAGGACAAGCTGCGGGAGGTAGGGAACGGAGGACTCTGCCTGGCAGCTCATCCTACGGCTCCGCTGCCGCGACTGCATTCCATCCTGCTATTCTCCGCAGCCAGATTGAGACTGACACCGTCCAGCAATTGTTGTGCACATGGGCTCCATGGTGGGCGGACACTACATCGCCTACGTCCTTGTGGACCCCGAACGCGTCTTCCTCGCGCACGGAGACCAAGTTGATGTCAGCGCACTCAGGGAACTCTCCCTGTCTGACCGACCAGAGAAGGGCAAGGAAGACAGGCGCGTCTGGTGCTACTGCTCCGACACCGAGATCCGCCCTGCCAGTGAGAGCGAGGTGCTGAGCGCGAGGGCATACCTGTGTTTCGTAAGTACCACTGACCTAGTCAACAAAGTAGACGACCGCATATGCTGACGCGGACCCAGTACGAGAAAGCGCATTAGCAGGCTAGACAACAGATGTCAGTGACCTGGCCGATCGTCTCTCGCAGAGTAGACCACTTCAGTATCTTGATTAGACTCTCGATAGACGTTCATCTTGTAGCAACGCAGTCTCATCTCACGATAGCATTGATGCATTGCCAGTGATAACACCGCCCTTTCTGTTGTTAGCATCCTCCCTCGTCAACATTTCATGAAGCCCAAGGCGGTCTCGGTGCTGGGATCGTTTGACAATGGGAATCGATGCACTCCGGCGGTCACGGCCTGTTCCTTCGTAAACTGCGTGCGCAAGATGCGTTGCAGCCCAAATCCGATGTCGTCTCAGCGCTGCATGCTGGAAGTTGTGGTCCTTAAACGCGCAGGCTTACGAACTTACTCGATGGAGCAAAGCCGGAGCCGTCAGAGTTAGCGTCGCTCAACGCACACGTCTGTGTCCCTCTATCGTGAGCCCAAAAATATACCCACGCGCTCAAGTGGACAATGCTTGTCCGTGCTTTTTATGTCACCACGGCATGCCCGAGGGCCGTGTACCGAGCTGCTGTGCCGACGCTGAGTGCCCAAATGAAGCTCAGACGCTCGGATCCGAGAACGGCGCACCACAGAGACCCCACCGGACATCGGCGCAGCGGTCCTGGTCTGCCGACACGCTGCGGCGCGGACAGTAAGCGCGGTATGCATGATCGCAGGATGTCTCGGGGTAAGTTAGCCTGCGCATGATCAGATCATCAGTAAGGATCGCGAGGATCGAGGATCGTGACGAGAGAACAGCGTTGTCAGGCAGAGAATTTCGGAGCTGCCAGTCGGAGGCCCAGCGGATCGGCGGTGGCCTGGCGGAGGTGGTGTGGTCACATAAGCTTGCGGCCTCCGCGGAACGTGCTGCGCAGCACTGCGGACACGTGCAAAACGTGCAAACGTGCAGCACTGCACGGCATGCAGTGCTCAAATAATCGACCTTGAACGAGCATGCATGATGTCCGCGCATGCTCCTTGAGCGAGAGTGAAGTTCGCCTGCGCTAAACAGGCCACATAACGTGGTATGACGGACTGTAGCGCAGCCCACGTGAGCGATCTCGTCCGCGGAACACAACCCAATCACGCTTGCTCATAGCATGAACAAATGCTCTCTGAGATCTGGGAGAGCGCAGTTCCAGAGCATCAGTGCGTGCTTATCGAGGAAATCAGCGCGGGTGCCCGGCGACTCGAGGGCCAAACGGTGGCAAGTCGCCGGTGAGCTATTCGTAAAGCAGCTCCGCAGTTACTACCCCCAGCCCCTCCGCCTATTGATCCATTGGGATTCATGTTCCGCAGAGTTCCTCGCAGATCACGTCCCCGCGGTGACACTACGGCCGCCCCATGGCCTTGTGCCCCATGCGAGCGCACTGTCGCAGAGGAAGCGAGCGCCCGGGCACTTTGGCGTCCCTGTGGCGCCGCCGCTGACGCCGATGACGCCAATGACAGCCATGGCCCGCGAGATCTACGTCGTTCGTGCGTTCCATGCGTGCTCCAGTTCGCGTCAGGAATTGCTAGGAATGCACAAGGTTTGGCCCAAGGTTTCAGGACTTGGCTTTCAGGTAAGCTCGGCGGTCTGGTGGTCGAGCCTCTGGGTACCAATGTGATCCATGGGCGGCGCGTGCGGTACGTGCGGCGCCGCGGATCTCTTGGCCTTCGCCGCAGATCCAGGCTGCGGTGACCGCAATTGCCCGCAGGGACTGAGGGTTGTGCTTCGGACCGAAAAGGCCGGGGGGCCAGTCGCGAGGCGAGGTCGGGCAGGGCGGGCAGGGTGTCTCGCTGGCTGCTCGGAAGCACGGTGGCGTCGAGGCGCAGGTACGGAGTCGTAATGGGCCGGAGGAGGACGTCCTGGACGAGAGATCTGGCGTGCGGAAGCGGACACTGGTCCGCACGCTCGCGGACTCTGCCACACATGATGACGCTAATGCCTTCGGATCGCGATCCGGAGGTCTGTCGGGCATGATGTGAGATGGAAGAGGCTGCCGTGCGTTAAGTCTCCATGTGGGCCCTGCGGGCGTGTGTCGCCACTTGGACCTCATCCCCGTTTGTCTCGACTCTCAGAAACTGCTGAGGGAAGTCGAGAGGTCGGGGTACGGAGCATCCGGGCGAATCCCGATCTGTGCAGATGAGTATGTCCGACCACGCGAGTGCCTGTTCGGCTCAATCGTAAGACGCACACTCAAGCACCAGTTAGAACCTGTATGGTACTCGTAAACAGGCAATGCTTCTGTCCTATGCTTCTAGCCCGGCCAAGCAATTGCTTCTCTGCGCATGGGTCAGGTCCTCGCGTGTGAGACACAGATGATGTCGGACGGGTGAGGTACAGCGCCACCCGACGATTTCTTGGAAACCCAGAAAACTCTCGAATTTGTCCAACATCCACCAGATCTGCTATCGATGATGTCGAAATGTCCGGGACGATGACAGCGATGGCCGTATTCTGCTGTCAGTGACGGCTGCAACATGCAGCCTGATCGCGAGCGCGATGTGATAGCGGTCTTCTTGGTGAGTGGGCGGAAGCGCTGTTGGGCGCCCGCCGCCTGCAACCCCCTCCCCTCGCTCACACTGTCGGTGTACCTCAGTATCGAGAGCTGCAAGCTCTCCTATGCAGTCCTAGAGCCACCATGTGTCTATCGGCGGCAGTTGCAGCTTGTTGAGCGCTTCCGTCGGGAGTTGTTCTGAGGTGGGGATGACCAACCGCCTCATCCAGGACAAGTGGATCTCCGTGTTTGCATCGTTTGCATTGTCAATTCCAGTCGCTCCACTGGGTGTGGCTATGCAATAAAGATGTGGGCGTGTCGTACGTTTGGTCCCTTTCGCATAAGCGCCATACGGGGGAATAACCGAGCCAAAACCGCCTCGAATCGGTGTCTGCACCGTTGTTCGGGTGCCGTCATTCTGGCGGACGCTAGGCCGCTATTTAGCGCACGTTGCTCTACTGCGCTATTGCGCTGTTGCTGTGGGCGCCCAGATCGCGTAACGACCGATGTGAATGGAAGCTTGCAGATGTTGCAGGGTGACTAACCTGCAGCGCGTGGTGCGGTCACTCCCCGATACCGGCACATTGTCACGTATGGTTTGGCCAGCGCAGGGCCTGAGGCAGTAAGGGATCCAATATTGCCAAGGTCGGTAAGCAAGCCCCAGTAAGCTTGTCTGCGAGGGGTTTTGCGGCATGCAGGAACAGAGTGCGCTAAATAAAATGACGACTCGCTTTGGGGCCCGACCTGATGCAGGCGGCCTTCGGTTGGATGCTTGCCTGAGTGAGAGGGTTGGCTTGAAGTTGGCCGTCTCCACCAGAGCTGCCCCAAAGACGAAGGACGCAGGCGTGGGGCCGCGGCACACCGGATCCCTGGGTGGGCGGGGTTGGCCGCCAACGATTGGCCTTCCATCAGACCTCGCTGCCTCCCTGCTACCAGTGATCTCCTCAACTGGTTGCCCCAGGCGCTGCCCGCGTTGTTGGCACAAAATGTACGGGGAGGTGAGTGCCGATGCGCACTCGTCACCCTACCGCGGCTGTTCATGCGTTTCTCACACGAGCAAAAGATTCGATTCTGCATGCCACATTGAGGTAAATGGGCAGAACCTTCTTGCGAGAGCTCTCGATTGGGTTGGAGATAGCCTCAGCCCACACTCACCGTCCGACGAGCCCATAGGCTGCCCCAAACGTCCCATTAACGCTCGTGGAACACCACTGCAGCACCGCAGCGGCGCCTTGGCGGGCGAGTGAAACGAGCGCCACGGATGACGAGACCGACTGGGACATCATGTGCCGGTCACATGCCCCATACGGCGCGCGATTCAATCGGGATTAAAATGAAGTGAACCTTGATGCCTCGGTTGAGTCCCCGTGATCCCAGCCCAACGGAGGGCAGGGGTAGTTCGGAGTGTCTGCAACGTCACCCGGCGTCAGGTGCCATGCCTTGCCGTCCTTGCCATGCCTGCAATGCCTGCCGGACGGCCGTGCTGCGGAATGTGTACTGCAAACGGTTCCCAAGCACCCCAGACGATCCGATTACGGCCGTAGTCATTATGCGTTCACGACGGAGGCATGCCGTCGCGGACTGGTTGGCAGTATGTGTACCCTATTGCAGTATCATTCCCCGGAGTGGTCGTAGGGTGGCTCGATCGCAGACTGGTGGAGCCGATCGTATCGAGAGGTCGGTCGTGCAGGTGGGTAGGTCGGCGGACCGACCCGGACGCTAAGACGCGAGGGCCGGTCGTCGAAGCGGACAATGGAGGTGCAATCGTAAGTCTCGTGGGCGTGTCGACGTTGAATGAGCGGAGGTCCTGCGTCCGATCAGTGGCTCGAACATTGACAGTGCAAATGGTTCGGTGCCACAGAACTGTCCAGCTCTGTTCAGTGTTGTCCTCCGTGTGATTGCGTGAGTGGGTAAGTAGGACCAGAAGCGACCCTGGATGCTGAGCACGACGCAAGCAGTGGAGGTGAGCCAGAGTGTAGCGGAGGGGGAAAAGGAGATTGGAGGTCGAGGAGATCGGAAGAGGGCGGGGAAGTACGCGGAGCGAGATGAGATTTCTGTTTCTGAACAATGAACAACCCGGAAACGCCTGCGACCCTCTACACATCGAGTGGCGAGAGCTTTGGGCTCCTCCTTCCTCACCTCAGTTGCTTTCGTAGCTACATGCGCTGAGGCCATTGCGCACTCTATAAGGCGCTTCCTCCAATGAGGCAAGGCACACACCCGGGTGCGGAAACGCTCTGTCGAGAGTTCCGGAGTGCGGCAGCCGATCCGATCTGCCTCGCTTCCATCAAAACACCTCAAGATCCCGGCCAGTCTACGATTCCGTTTCCTGCGGAAGGGTAACCGGGCCAGGCCAGATCTAGAATCTGACCCACTTTGCGGCTGCGGCGACACCCTACGCGGCACAGATGTCATCGCTTGAGCGGCAACGTCAACGTCGATCTTGGCTGTGCAGCACATTGCCGAGCTCACCCGCGCGCACTTCGCGTTAGCCATGGCCAGAATCTAGGGCCGCAAGGGACACTCTTAACGATGCACAGATCAGGCATTCATGCGGGCAACCTCTGAGCGGAATTGGTACCCGCTCCTGGTCTTCTCCCGGGACGCAACTCTTCTACGGAATCCGCACGCGGTGACGAGACCTGGACCACCGAGCTGCACTCAGTAGACAGGTCCCGGATCGGGGTAAGAAAGTGTCCTCTGGGCGTCAACAGCAGACTAGCCCGATGCTCGAAATCCGCAGCGTAGTCTCGAATACATTTGCCCGGGCTGGGCGCACCGAATCTGTCCGACTCCAGTCCCTGTCGGCGTGCCTCAGAGACGTCGCGAAAAGTCCTCAGCCGAGATTGTTTACGTCTGTCCTTGTTGCTCACACTCTGCTTTCCGCACCACAACTCGTGTCGGATCAGGGGCCAAGGTCAGGAAAGGTCTTGAATGGATGGATATTCATGCCCTCACTGCTGCTGAGTCTTCCAGATAGGGGTCTCAATCTTGTCACTGAGATCCCGGCCGAACAAGCTTCTTCCCTCCCGTTCCTTTTCGCGGTCATCCTTGAGCATACGGTTGTCGACGCGGGCGTCCTCTCCCTCGACGCCAAGCATAGGTTTCGGTTCCTTGGCCTCAATAACCTGGAAGTCAGGTGTCAGCCATGATACCACGCATCGAAGAAAAGTTGGAGATCGCTGACGCGTCGAGCGGAAGATTATCCGAAAAAGTCCAGGGCCGTGCTGGCCGCAGGCAGTTCCGCAGATCTTGGGCGACTCAGGCACGCCGATCCGGCTCAACGGAGACGACTCCGCATCACATGTCGACTTCAGCCGATAAGCAGTGGCGGACGCTCCCGGTTGAGTCAACTTGATGCTTGCAGTACTCACGTAGTGGTTGTCACAGTGGGGGCAGTATTCGTCGGCCTCCTCGTATTGGGTCATGTCCTTGCGGAAAGCCTTCTTGCACTGGTGATTGGATCAGCATGTATGGCAGGGGGGGTATGCAACGACTATCGCCGGTCCTCACCTTCTTGCATAGGAAAACCATCTCCGTCGTGCGGCGGAGCGGATGGTCAGACTTCTCAGCATGACATTCGGGGCACTGTGGGATGGTGAGTCAGCGACGACTCGGCAGTGGAGGCATCGGCAGCGGTGCGCGGAGTGAGGGCGACGGCGAGGCCGCCCGGGCGCCGAGGGAGCGGAGGGAGGTGTGAGGTATGCTCCGTAGGCTGAGAGGGCCGAGCAGACGAGGAAGTCCGTGTGACGTAAGGGGTGCAGCGGAGGCTTCGAGTCCGGAGTGCAAGATTTGGATTTGTGGAAGAGGGCGGCTGGGGGGTTTGGTGAGACTCGAGCCTCGGGCCCTGGGACATTCAAGCTCAGCAGGTGCGGAATGGGCACCTGGGCACGGGCGTGCCGGGCATGGCGGGGTCAGCCGCGGGGAAGGCACATGGGAGGCTCGCCGTGCTGGGCTGGGACATTCTGCCCAAAGTCCAGCGGCCCCGGAAAACTACCTGATTCGCACTCCGCCAGCCAAATCGCGCACGCGCACATGAGCCTAGAAACATCACCCAGGGAAAGACCTGGTCATCTGCTCTTCTAGCCTCAACGCTGACTCTGGTTTACGGTCCTCGGCCCTCCGGCCGTTCAGCCCTGCGGGCGGCCACCCCCCTACCATCCCCTATCAATCCTTCCTGCCTTCGCGCCTGCAATTGTTTGCTGCAGATGGTGCGGGAAGGCGCATGACGACGGGCCCATCGCCAGTGCCGGACAAAGTCGTTGTTGCCTGAGACCACAAGCGCGCAGATCCCAAGCCTTCGAGACACTTACGTCAAACCATTTCTGGCAGCAGGGCGCCCTGATGGACACTTGGGCGTTCAAAATGTGCTTGCTGCGAAAACCGTCAATCTTCGATCCGGAGACGTGATACCCATTTCCGCCGCGCCCCTGCCCAGATCCAGATCGAGCACGCCAGCCCCAGCTGTCTCCTGTCATGTCCGGAGCCCGGCGTATCATTGGGAATTCGCTGGAAGCCGGACCGCTCTCTGGCCCAGAACGAGGGAGTCTCCGCAGGGATAGGAGCCAACGTACCACATGGAAAAGCAGAAGCAGGGAGGAAGGAAGACGGCGAGAATGCGGCGAGACAGCAAAAATGGGAGATCGGGCTGAACACGGGGCTCGTAGAGGAGGATCAGCGGGCGATGACGAGTTGGGGAGGGCTTGGGAAAGTGGAAGCGGGCTGTGCTGTCGATGCAGATGAGCGGAAGTGTGTATGGGATGGAGTCGACGAGGAGCGCGTCTGATGCATCGAGTGCGGAGGTCGAGCGTCGAATTGTCGAACCATGGTGCGGTCAGGGCGCGAGGCGAGTGTCAGGTCGGAGTTAAAAGGGTTGTCCGTGAGTACGTCACGCGGCATCCCTGGCGTCAGGCGTCCGCGATATGCGTTGGGCGCGCCGGGCGTCCTGGATCCTGGCTATCCTGGCCGTCTGGGTTGTTGTGCGCAGTGTGCCATTCGGCATTGCCATGTGCTTGCGGTATGTCTCCTGCATCCTGTCCCAGTATTGATATACTATCATGTCGCCACCTCCGGATATCTCATACCTCTCTCCTCTTCATTTCATCCTCACCGTCAACGGCCTTCCCCCGCGGCCCAGCTCTCATCTTCACCGACCCCGTTTGACCTCCATCCTCACTCCCTCCCGACATCATCACCTCTCATCGGTCTGGCCCTCACATCGACACCACCTGACTGCCGCCATCCGAAACCGATCCCAAGCCAGCCAGATGCTATAGGATTATGGAAGAGGACCACACCGCGTCGTTCATCTCGGCGCTCGCCAACCTGCAACCCGTGGAATACGACAACATCGCCTCGCTCGATGGCTGGTCCGTTGATCAGCTCAAGCAAGAAGTCATCCGGTTGCGCCGAGCGCTCGCAAACGTTGGAGGCGGCGTTCAAGACATAATGCCAGTCTTCCAGCCACAGTTCGTTCAACTGCCACCCCCGAACCAGATCGCCCAACAAGCTCACATGCAACACCACAACCACTCTCACAACCATGGCCATGGTCCACCGCACCATCATTCACCGCAAACCTCGCACCACCATGCGTTACCGCACCATCAGTCTCACCAGCAGGTTCACAGCCCGCACATTGCACAGCAGAATTCAATCCCACGCGGTGCATCTGTGACACCTACGCAGCCCACACCTCCGGCGCTTCCTCACGCCCCTCTGCCACCTTACGGGTCTCCCTACTCTCACACCAGCCGGGAGCGCTCTGGTTCCCGCAAGCGGGCGCTGTCGCCCCCAAGGAAGAAGCGTGATGAAGGGACAGGTAAAAGGGTTGAGAAGGGACGACGGGTCGAGCTTGCTCGCGCTATTCGCACCAAGATGCGGTATGCCATGAACATCGGCTTGGACGATGACTTGCCCCCGCCAACAGCCTTAACCCTCCCCAGTGCTCCTCCCGAGGTAGGCGCCTGGGTGCCGAATTGGCCTGCAGGCGTCAGTGATCCCAACAATGCGCAGGTGAGTACCCTTACGCCGTCATTGCGTCGTGTCGCTTGGTGGCGCTGTCTGATTGGCGCGGTGCCTTGTTCGTGCATGAAGACCGCGACAAAGATCTCCATTGGAAGGACAATGGATGCGGAAACGCTTTTCAGGCTCAGAGGCAGCGGGCTGGAATTTGGGGCAAAATGCTGACGCGATCACAGTGGCTTGACCGAGTGTGCGCGCTTTTCATCACAGAAGCTCGCAACTATCAGGTTTGGAACAAGGTTCCTCCTGAAGACTTGGATGAGGACATTGTCAAGGTTAGTGTCGCCGGTAGGGCCTCTCGTCGTGCTATCCGTTTTCCGTTTGGATGGAGGACGAGGAAGAGCATCCTGGCCCTTGGTCTGTCGGAATAACTTGGGAAAATGTCTTGCTGACATCGTAGACGGCAGCTCGCACCGCGTTCCAGAATTTCGCAAAACGCTACATGGCGGAAGTGGACCCTAAACACGCCAAGAAGAAGGAGAAGTATGTGAAGAACAGGCGCCGATGGGCACGCAAGGATCTGGTAAGTTGTCGTCGTCTCTGCAACCGTCGTTACTGTTGTTCCGAGGTGGCGAAGGAAGGCCGGCACAGTCGGAGCGGACTCCGTCTTGGATGCCGGTCCGACTCGTGCGATGACGTTGGACGAGATCGGCGGGGATCACTCCGCCTCAGCAAGGCTATTAGGAAGTGGGCAAACGGCCGCATCGTATCAGGCAGCCGGTGATCAACGTCCTCGCCGGCCTATCCTCCAATGGCATGACGTGATCGCCGTTATCGCCTGCCCAGTCTGTCCCTCTGCTGCGATCCTACCGGCGGTTGTTCGTTCCAAACGTCCGAGCGGTTATCTGGCATCGGTACGCGCTGGTACATGACAGCGGACTTGCCCGCTGAGCAGGCCACGTAGGCCATTCTTTCGTTACCTGAGAGAGCGCCTCTTGCCCCTGGATTTCTTCCCTGTGATAGTGACATTGCTGACTCGGTTCGCAGAAGCAAAAGCGCCGTGCCAAGGCTGCTTTAGACCCTTCCTTTGGCAGCGTCTTGCCTCAGTCGGCCCTCCACATCGATTATATGTCGTCTGAGTATTCTTCAGCCGGAGAAGATGAGGGAGATGAGCAGTCAGCCAGCAGGCGCGGTCACTGGCTCGAGGTGCTCCGATCGCACAGTCCTGAGCCCCAGAAGCCAGGCAAGGGCGGTTGGGCGGAGGGTGTCGATCAGAAGGTGCTTGAGGTTCGGACTCCGACTTGGCGCTCACCACGCCTGAATGAGCTTTACCAACGTCTCGATATGATCTCGGCCGCTCAGGCTGCGATGCGCGCTCAGCCCGCTAGTCATCAGCCAACTTCGCCCGGCAGCAAACCGCCTTTGCGATTAGGTCACGTTGCCCCCAGCCACAAGCGCTTCACGATGCCAAGCTCGCTCATGAGACGGGGTCACCTTCCCCGTGACCTCGGAGAAGGTTGGATGTGGGCTTCAGGCGTAGCAGGAGTTTGGCCCGAGCGCAGTCGATCGAATGAGTTCAACCAGCCAAGTCACAACAGCAATACGAACAACAACACTACGACGACCGCATCGGCCAATGGCATTAGAAACATGGTGAACGTCCCCGAGTTGGAGGAGGGACTGGACGCAAGCGTGGATGCGCTCGTCCAGGGGTGGACCGAGCAGTAGAAATGATCGTGCTTTCACGTTCAAAGATCGTGGTGGCGCCCCCTCTGCGGCGGCCCCATCCAGTTTGTGAGGATGCCATCTTTTCTGCTGCTCAGCGGCAGATGAGATGCCTCAGTCGACATCGATTACGCATGGAAATGATTCGGATTTCTTTTGGTTGCGCAGAACCCCATTGAGTTTTGTAATTGTATCCACCAGATTTGTAACAGTCAATGCATGTTCATAAAAGCAAACATACGCGACCATAATCTGCAGTGAGCCTGGCATGTGCAAACGAGCCGAAGAGGAGGGGATGAGGGAAGACAGCGGAACGAGGCAAAGGCGAACACTAGCCTATGACTAGAGACCGAACATCCAACGACAGACCTATTCTGGGGCCGGCATGCGCAGGGAGGACGATCATTCAGTTCAGGAGCCACTGCAGGAAAAGCTGCGGGCTCCTGGTCCAGAGGGCGAAAGACGTAGCTAGCTGACTCAAATCGGAAGGCTGCCTGTATGCTTAGTTCAGTTGTTTGGGGGTTCTAGGCTGTGGTCGCTGCGTTTAGTTGCCGGTGTCGCTGGTCAACCGCGACAGTCACCCGGTGTCCTGTGCGCCGAGCGTCGGGGTCAGCCTGGAATGACTCCGCACGCTGTATCAGGCTCAACCATGTTTTCGGCCGCAGCCAGGTCCCGGACCGTGGGCCGCGCGCCGTTGACCGTGCACGGCGCTTGCCTGCAGAGCAACAGAGCAGCCAGTTATGCAATTGCTGTGCCTCGCATGGCTTACAAGGCTCTCCCTGTCGAGGTGCGTGCAGAGCCTATTTGCAGCCGATACCTACACCATTGTTACTCGGCTCCTATCGCTGCGTCTGCCTTTTGACATCGTCTCTTTGTTCACACCAATGATCAGCTCTGCCTTCGTCGCCTTCCCTTGATTTTTCTCTCATGTGTCGCCTGGCGAACATGCGAACCACCCGACAGCCTCTCATCGTTGTGAATCATGTCTCGAGCTCGTTTATGGGCTTCCTCCGCTGAAGGTTTCTCGATTCATGCCCGTCCCTGTCTTTCCTAGCCTTCCTCGCCGCCCCGTCATCATTGACAGTCGAAGCTCGCCCCGCTCTCTTCCTCAGTCTTGAACGTCAATCCGTTGGCAATTATCAGGGCAGGCTCCGCGGCGTTATCATGATGGGCTTTCCTTACGAGCCGCGACAGGATTAGAAGCTGGGATTCTCGAGGTCCAGGGTAGCTTCGAATCGAACGGCCCGCGCAGCATACCCTACACCTAGCTTGTGCCGAGATCCGCGACAGTCGCCGTGCAAGTGCCACCGCTGGGTGTCTAAACCTCAACGCGGCCTCGTACCTTGCCATGTTCAGCATTTGGTTGTCCAAGGCGTAGCTGGTCAGGCAACGTGGGCTCGGAATGCTCGGATATCGCGGTCGTGCCTGAACGGTATCGGGTCCGGAAAACCCGACCCCATCTCGGTTTCTCTGCTCAAGTGCCACTGCGCAGTACTGACACATTGCTGATCGCTGATCCCCAAAGCCAAGTCAAGAGTGCACTCGCAGCAAAGAGACGCAAGCCCAAGCGCCCTCTCTCGGATGGATTATTACACCGTTAACCCTCCGCCACGTCGCGGCTCACACCAATCGTCTGCCTGACGCGCGGCGGCATGTCTGACCCAAGATTCGGACACACATGACGTCACTACATTCCGCAGTCGGCCCATGAACTAAGGTGGACGTCCCAGTACCTGGGACGACCACCCTTCAACCGTCCGAGGCACACAACACGCGCGAATATAGCTCACCTCCCTCAACTCGCCTCCCACGGCTCACACCTCAAGTGGCATCATATCGCATGCTGACATGTGGCGAGCGCAGTTGCGGCGTTTGAAGCACAAGCATCACACTCCGTTCGCGGCGCCTGAGCTTACCTGGCTCCTTCTTGCGCCTCCCGACGCCGCTTCGTGCTCTGACATCTGAGGCTCCTGGTCAAGCCGGAGAGTGCGATTCCCGCGCAGCAGCACTGTCCGCTCGAGTCTTTCGCCTCCCGGGTTATTCTGACGGTTCCGCCTCCTCATGCGGTGCGGCGGATCCGCAACCGCTTTCCACCCGTGCCACTCACGCGCGCCCCATTCGCCTCTCATCGGCCCCACGCCCTAACGCCTACTTGCCTGAGCTAGACGATGACTAGTCCGCAGCCACAAATCCCAATGTGCGGTCTCTGGAGCGCCACCGTGGCGAGTGTCGTCACAGCACCTGAGCGATTATTAATCGAATTTCCCACGTTGGAGTGTGGCCGACCTCTAGCGCCCACTCCTGGTGCTGCACCATGTTGCCACTTTGCCCCCAACCTGAAGGCCTTGTTGCTCGGTTAGAAGTCTTGCACTTCAGCCCAGTCCATCTACGACGGTAACGAGTCCGCCAGGGACAGACGCGTGCCGGACAGTTTATTCGAGTGTGGCAGCATCCTCCCAGATCCACACCGTTCCTCGCCAACCCACCCGGCCCTGCAATCTCGTGACCCGTCCCTGCTGCTTACTCGGCTCCCGGATCCCTGCACATACAACTGAACCTTAGGACTGCCACAACGCCCCACCAACCCTCGGTCGCCTCACGAGGAGAGCTTCACTTCCTTTCCCATGGTACGCCCGATTCGGGTGGCAACATGCGGAGGATGGCGGGGGGATTCAGATCAGCTCGGTGCGGAACTGACTGCTGAGTGGCGAGGAGTGGCTTTTGCGGATCGACAGGTCAGCACGATGGTGCGGTCCGCACTCTGGATGCGGACAGCAATGGTGGACGTCGGACGGACGTCGTTTGGCAGCTTGCGCAATGTGGACCTTGTTCATCGCTCCCTGATGTATTGTGTGCAGCCTATCAGAATGCAGTCAGTAATTTGCCTGGACGGCTAGAAAAAGGCCGAGCCATACGCTCGGTAGACTGACAGCCCCCCGGGTGGCGAGACCGTTCGAACCGACGGTCGGGGACTCGAGGGATGGAGCAGCGACTCCTGAACTTGAAGAAGGCCTTCCTCAATCTTTGCGACTCTTTTACAGCAATTTTAGATAATCAGCGGAGGTTCGTGCTCTCGGCAATAGCCATGGCCGAGAATCACGGCTGGTTGTGAGTGAGACTGCCGCCACCAGCGCACGATGGAGGGCGATGAGGGCATTAGATGTGGGTAATATGCACTGCATATTTCTCATCTCTGGCTCTGCTATCCCATACACGGCAGAGTCATTTCGCCGCGGAGCTCGAAGACCAAGACGTTCTCGAGGGACCGCTGTTAATGTGCGGATCGGAGATTGAGGTATCCCCATGCATCGCACGGCCGCTGACGGCTCAAGACCTGTACAGCCCAGGCTTAGGGGGGCATCACAACTCTCTCCTACCCCTCTGCTCACTGCAGACAGCGACAAGCTCACGCAGCCTCGTGGGTGCTGGCTGGTCCATGGTACAGATACCCACTCGAGCGGTCGGAGTGGAGCCGACTCAGCCAGGCCGACAGCCAGGTCGACGATTTCAGAATATCCAGCAAAACTGCACAAAATTCGAAGCAGTCGGTCAGAAAATGCAGCCACCTGCTTCAGTATCGTGCAATAAGTCTGCGCGCGTTCAGGAGGATGCTTCACTTAGCGACCGAAGACGATGGGACCTCTGAAGGATGGGTTTGGATATTCGAGTGCCGGTCGGTGGAGGTCGCGGTGGAGCGCAAAGAAATGTGCATCCTGCGCCTGCCAATTCGAGAGTGCTCCTGTCTCTTGTCTGGAGGTTAAGACTCAGATCTCGGAAGAGGCAGTGCCGAGGCTTGCGCGGGACCGTGGGCCGTGTAAGAGCACTTAGATTCGAGGTTGAGAGGCGACGGCACGAGCGACGCCCGGCAGTTCGGCCATCACTCCAGCATGAGCGGGGTTCATCCCTCTGCTCACCCAGCAGAGTGAGAGACCAGGTCCGAGTAAGCTTGAAGTACCTTTATGGTCACGACACAGAGACACAAGGACGGAGGGCGGAGTCGTTGCGGAAGTGGTCTGGCGGCAGAGGGGGTGCTGTGAGGGTGGCCTGAAATTCGCCTGGTGGGAGCCAAATGTTAGGATTGGATGAGTATTGTCAGTGGTGAAGACTGTGATGAGATAGCTTGGGCACAATACGCACATTGTCGACGCCGGGTTTGCGAAACTTGGAGCCCTCAGCAGTTGGGTTGGCGACACCCTCTCCAGCTCACGCGTAGCCCGTCGCTTCTTCCGAAGCCAAGCGGCGTTGCCCCTTCATGCCCCCACAGCACATTGGTTGACACGGCCTGTGTTCAATCAGGAAACCCACCCAGCTGTCCTCCCATCGTGTACTGGGCGCCGCGCTGTACAGCCCGCACGCGGTAGACTGAGCGATCCCATGCTTGATCTGCGGGCCAAGACAACTTCAGTATCTTTCTTATAGACGTGGACACGCATGCCAGGCGTCTCACGTTGAGATGAAACCGTCGAGGCTAGAAGTGGATAGTAAGGACTGAAAGAGAAGTTCCGGGTCGTTAGGAGATGTGAGAACACATCTCGCTTGAATTTAGTCCAGAAAGGTATGATGTCTGCAATCGTCAGATACTTATGAAGCACCAGGCGAACTTACAGATACCATGTCGGATCTTCACTGCCTTTCCAAGTAGCCCCCCGAACAGCTTGCTATCGACAAGTGATAGTCAGCGGTGTTAGATCACGACGTCTTGGGCATGAGTTCACGGATAACAAGGCCCCCCGCATCGTGCAACACGTAAGCCATCCGCATGTAAGCCATCCACATGCTTGCTACCCGCATCAGTGCACTACATTGCACGTCACAGTTCATGGGGCTCCTCTATTGCTGAGTCTGTGACCAACATGCGGAATGACGTCGTCGAAGCTGACTCAAACGAGCCATCGTTGACGAAGAGGTAACGATGCTCATTTTCGGGCGCGCAGAGGGTGAAGGCTGCGATGGTTTCCTCAGCAAGTAAGACGTGAAAGAGCCCGCAGGCCTCGGAAGGATCT